CTAATGGATGCTGGGAGGCAGAGGGAGATTTTTTTTCTTCTTTTCCTCCCCAAAAGCTAGGTGCGCTTTATAGTCCGGAGCCAGGGGTGAAATCCTCCCGGTTCGGTCAATTCGACACACATTTTTTCCTACTGGGTCCTGTGGGCGTGGCTTGGTGGTGGGGTCATGTGACTGAGTGGGCATGGCCAACTCGAAGTCACTCATGGCAACGCCCACTCAGTCACATGCCCCCATCACCACCAAGCCACGCCCACAGGACCCAGTAGGAAAAAATGTGTGTCGAATTGACCGAACCGGGAGGATTTCACCCCTGTCTCCGGACTATAAAGCGCACCTAGCTTTTGGGGAGGAAAAGAAGAAAAAAAATCTCCCTCTGCCTCCCAGCATCCATTAGTAGTCATCTGGCTGGCGTCCTTGCAGCAAACAGTCTGATCAGCTTCAGCACGTTATCGCAGCCTGATTTAGCACAAGCAGCTGATTGGCAGTTGGATCTGCTTCCCAGAATACCGCCGATTAGCTATTCCAGGCTGCAGCGATTACTGCCGCCTATTGCTGCTCCCATGAATCCCATTTTCGGCATCCGCGTGCCCTGTTTTTGGCCCAATTGTCGGCACAATAGGAACGAGCCAAAAACGGGGCGCGTGGAGACTGAAAAAGGGGCGCACAGAGGCCAAAAGCGGGATGCGCGGAGGCCAAAAATAGCCAAAGGAGCAGTGGCGGGGGGGGGGCGCTTTGGCAACATTCACTCTATAAGACACACAGACATTTCCACTCACTTTTTTGGTGGGGGGAAGTGTGTCTTATAGTGCGAAAAACACGGTATACCCTCCTTTGATTATCTGATTACAGGTATTCCTCAACTTCCTCAACAGAACTGAGTCTGCTGCAACAGTCATAAACAAGAAGATAAATATTTTTAAAAAGTATTTAAAAATGCAAATCGCCTTTTTCAGCACTGTCAAGAATTGACATATCACTAAATGAGTTTGTCCTAATTGAAGGACTACCTGTAGGTGATTGACAGATAGATTATACATGATAAAACTTCTTTTATTTGTAAAACTTCTTTCCGTATTACTGAGTTAAAGTACTCTCAACCTACACTTGAATCCACGGAAAATTAAGCCAGAATAAAATTTGTTACACCCACAAATGTTCCCTCTTCTGCCTCCGTTGTATATTAACCAAGTTATTACTGAATGCAACTGTCCTGACTATCTTTGCATAGGCAGAGCGTGATAAGCAAAACAATTGGTTGATTTTCCCTTATTTTCTGATTTTTCCCTTCTTTGCTAATCTTCCCCTATCAATTTGTCACTGTGCGGTGGGAAAACCACTCAGTAACCACAGGACTAGAGTAGGCATGGAACAGGTTTTCTTACATCTTTCATGTCTAAATGCCTTTCTAAACTGCTCCTCCTACACCCAAATATGTCTTGACCTGGCTAATTTTTTTAAAAAATTACAGGGAGTCGCAGGGAGCTGTGCCACAAACAATACTTATTTATGATATCCTTCCTTTCCTTTCAGCATTTAGGGAATACGCGTGACATTCAGATTCCTGCATGCTCTGTTTGAGAATAGATGATGGGAGAGAACTGGGCCCATCTTTCCATCATTCTTCTATTTTCACTATAGAATCCAAGCATTTTACAGTTCTGTCATTGATTACTCTAGTGCAGGGGTTGACAGCCTGCAGCTCTGGAGCCGCATGTGGCTCTTTCATCCCTCTGCTGCGGCTCCCTGTCGCTGGTCAGTGCCACAATTTTGAGAGGAGCTTCTGGTTAGGGGGGGG